TACAGTATCATGTAAAAATTGGACGAGATCATGAGTAGAACTTGTGTGATTTGCATAAATTGAGAACGTCAGATGGCTGCAAAAAATGAAGTTCACAGTCATCAGGCTGAGTCACTGGAAATTCTGCGGATACGTGTTCACGTGAGGTAGACAGAAAAAGTGGGAGAAACTCACTCTTCAAAAAGCGCTAAAAACTTTTAGTTCACACCTTGTGCTGAAAGTCACACTGTCGAGTCAGCTACAGCATTAAGTGGGCCAATGCTAACTGCAGCCCTAAGAAGCGCTCGAATCAAACGACGCGGCCGTACGTCTCGCGCATTACGGTATCAGCACACTCGTCTTTCTGTCTCTATTGTTCAGTAATCAATAGCTTGACTCGTTTCACGGTTGGCTGCACCAAAATTTGGCTGAAGATAACTGGCAGTTATTAAGGAAGTTTTGCTGTCTGGAGAACGGGACTCAAACAGGGTGTTGAAACTTTTGACTCACTGCATCACCGCCCCTCAAATTGATACGATTTTTTTATTATGTGATATTCCGTACAACGGAAATTCACCAGCAAATTGTCATTCGTCATGCTCGCCATCATGTAGGCATCCATCTAAATGTAGAAGTTCTGATAAATCTGTACCTCTAAACAGATTGAACACAGTCGTTTAAGGAACAGCCCAATTGGGTCTATTTTTCTAATTAAATTGCACTATTTAATTTTCCTTTCCGGCTATTTTTCTTCATCAAATACATTACTTCTCTTCATTGTAATATCTGCACAAGATTGCGGTGAAACACCCCGTGAAATCTAGTGCTAGAGAGGTAGAGTCATCACACTGTGGCGTACGAACATAGATATTTATGCGATGACATATAAGAAGTATCAACCATCGAGTCTTAAATGAGTTGTACGATTATTTGCATACTCCGGCACACGAACAAACTTTGATGTTCATGCTAGAGAATATGAGGAGTACTAACTCCTGAAACATCGTCCTGGTGAGCAGAAGTTGAAATGAACTACGGAAAACTGTGGGACACGAGCTGAAGCGTTGGTGCCGATCAATCGTCATACTGACCAATATGTTAGTGTTGTGTATAACTTACCCTTGTTTTATGCAGTTTTCAACAGATAATAGCAATAGAATTATGAATATGAAGTTCAAAACGGGCGCAGCATTTTTGTGCGAGTCATAAACCATTCACACTGCAAATTAATTAATTGAAATTACTGCACGCTAGTCTCACCTGCTCGTATATTTTACAAAATTCAAGAGGAATTCCGTTGACGGAAATGATTTGCAAGCCGCTGTCCGGTTCATCTTCACTTTCGTTTGCCTTGGTCCACAGACTGAAGTCGAATTCCATGAGGAAACAGTTGAGGAACATCGGCTCAAGACCACGGCCGAACGGCGGATTGAACAGCTGCGCGTAAGCCGAGACAACATCCGACGTTGGCTCGTAGTAGAAAACGATGGTCCCGGTTTCTTCGTCAATGAGAGACAGACGAACGTCACAGTTGCACATGGCGAATGACTGCAACTTTTTCACCATTTCGGATTGCACATATTCAACATCGACTAAAGAGAAATTACTGACAGTCAACTGCATGTTTCTGCAACTGTTTCTGACACGAAAAAAAACGTGTCATTAATTATTACACATTGGTATTTCCTTCAGAGCAATTTTGAGGATTGGCCGGGTTATTGGAGTGAAGAAAATTGGACGAGTCATTAACTGA